ATCATTCATATTGTTGCCTGATCTTTCTTCTGCTGTTATGGAACAATGGTCTTCTAAACTTTGCTACGTCCTGTGCTCTAATGCTATGGGGATCTCATTTCACTGGAATGTTGCTTCTTATTAGTCTACGCAATACATAGATTATATTCTTTTTTGATTGGTAGAAAGAAGGTAAGAAGTGGTGAATTCGTTGAAGGTAGGGCCATAAGCGAGTCTAATGCTAAAACTTGATTTTTCAAGATCCCACTATATACTAATTCGACCCAAGCTCAGAAGCTCGTTACAGTCAAATTAATCTCCTTGGACATAACCGTAAATTAATAACTTTGAGGTTGAAAATCAACGTGGTGCGTAGCCACTCTGTCGAACTTTAAATTTTCAACAACTGAAGTTTGAGCCAACGCATTTCATTATTTAACATATTTATAATTACAAACTTAATGTAGTACCACTATAGATGTAATTTTATTTTATTTTTCGTCAAGGTTTTAGTGATAATTTTTATTTTTATTTATTTTATTTTTAAAAAATGAAAAAATTATAATAGGATGAATAATTAAAGTTGAGAAATAATTTTCATAAAAAAATTGAAAGATAATTATAAGTTCAAATTATGAACAAAAATAATCTCATTTAAAATAAGAAAAAATAAATATTACTTTGAGATAAATTCTAAATGAAAAAAGTTCATTATTTTGGGACAAAGAAAGTATGTATAAAAAAATATTTTTATGGTAAAAATTAAAAGTGTATTTATTGTATTTTTAGTATTATTTATTTATGTAGAAAATATAAAAATTAACTTTATTTTTTATATCAATGTCCATAATTTTAATTGTGTAATTGATAAAATTAAAGTTTAACCTTTATTTTTTTTATAATTATTAATAAATAAAATAAAATAAATACATTATTAACTTGTGTCATCCTAGAAAAATCCAATAACAAAAGGGAAACATGTTTTGCAAGTGGTCGTCCAAAATTTTTTGGAAGGACATGTAAAAATTTATTTTTTAATTAATATTTTTAAAAACCAACTATTAAATGAAAAATTTTATTCATATAAATTATATATACTAATTTCTAAATTATTTTAATAAACTTAACCATTTTATTAATTATAAAAAATTTAATATCGCTAAATATTTGTTTGTCAAGAAAATAGATTTCCTTTAATCAAAGGATTATAAATATTGAATTAATATAAAAATTAATAATAAGACTTTTATTCTAATGATTAATTTTTAAAAATATTAATTAAAAAATAATTTTATAAACAAATTTTTTAATAAAAATTTTAAAAGAACTACCTGTCTCTACTATTCTCATAACAAAATAAAATAAGAAGAAAAAGAACAAGGTTGAATTCAATTCCATCCCATTGTAGATGGAAATCGGTCGGAAATTTGAATCCCCATTCCCCACCACTTTTCCCTTACACAAAATCCAATTTTGCATGTAGAGAAGCTAAGAAACTTATACCAGTAGACGAGTTAAGGACGTAATATGATGACTTCAGTCAATATTCCCCCCTTCTTTTTGTTGAACAGGAACTTAGTATAGTGGGAAATGCAATTTTTCACTATACTAATGAGGGGTTGGATTAAGTGGTAAGCAATTTATTTCAACTTAAGTAAGATTTCGAGTTCAAGTCTTTGCGTACGCAGCAGCTTTCGTTGAGAGACTCATTCACCATTTTCAAGTGCGCGACTCGAGTCGAGTCCGAATTAATCGGAACGAAACCTGGATACCAGGCAGGAAATCGAAAAAAAAAAAAAAAAGCAATTTTCATTCGTACTTACCCAACACTAAGATTCTGCTTTTCTTGGCGGTTGTAACCTTACTTCACGCGTAATAACATCCAAAAGGAACTCTGTAGAAGGTTCCTACCTCTTCCTACGTACGCTTTCTATTGTTACTTTGCCTTGCTTGGAAACGAAGAGTTCTCTGGATTCTTACAGAAGCTTGCATACATTCTACTGTTTAGCCTTGCAGCCCAAGTTCTATCGCTACAGCCTCGCTATAAAACACCCACCAGTTTTTGCAGTTTGTACATACATTATTCACATTTTTCACGTTTGGGGTTTTTGTTGTCTTTTCTGATCGATGGAGAGAGGTGGCAGTAGGGGGAGAAGAGGGGGTGCTGGCAGCGGTGGAGGTAGAGGAAGAGGAGATGATCGTCATCATAATCAGCAGCAGCAGCGGCAGTCAGGGAGAGGGTCAAGCCAAGGCCATGTGGGTCCTAGCCAAAGTGAATCCCAGAAGAGCCATGTTGGTGGCGGCCATCATTCCGGTAGTGGTGGAGGAACTGGGTCTCGGGTTTCTGGTAATTGTTGGGAGCGGGGTGCTTCTTTTGCCCAAGTTGTGTCACAGAGGGCCCCTGTTTCTCCTCAACAGGCTCCTGGTATGTGATTTCTATGCTAGTTTCTTAGATTTCTTTGGCTGTGTTTTAATCTTTGCTAGCAATATATGTGATAGAAGTGAAAAAGGGTACAAAACTAGAATTGGGGGTTGAGATTTTGTTTTTCTGCAACTAAGAACACTTAGGCTCCGTTTGCTATAGCGGTTTTGAGGTAACGGTTAGCATTTTACCTAAATCGTTAAGTATAAATGTTTGGTAAATTTATATATTTTGAAACCGTTACAAATAGAGTGTTTGGTAAAATTTTTATTTAGCGATTTAAAACTTGTAGATAGCGGTTAGGGTACAAATCACTAGCGAATTGAAAAAATTAATTTATGTAGCTTTTTGTACTAAAGCGCTAGTGGATTAAAATTTTTTAATTTTATTGACAAATTCATCTATTTTAATTTTTTAATTTATGGTCACATTTTTTAATTAATAATTATCTAATAAATTTTAATTTTGTTTTTTTTTTTTACTTTTAATAACATTAAGTGATTGTAATATTTTTTTTGTACATTAATTTATAATTGAAAAATATATTATGTTAAAAAATAAAATTTGTTAATTAGA